TTAGTGATATAAATGTTACTAATTCCACAAATAACACTTTACCTTTTGGATCTTCTTTAGTATAGATAGGCAATATAAAAATATTATAAGATTATAATATAAAAAAACTCTAACTTAATCTTAATCTAACTATAAATTATACTATAACTCTTACTCTAACTCTAACTAATCTCAAATTGTTTAAATTAGTTTAAATAACTATTTTTATATCTTATAATCTTATATTATTTCTATATTGCCTACCTAAACTAAAGATCAACCCATATGTTAATGATATTTAATCAATAAATAGCACTTTTTCTATAAATATAACTAATAACACTAATGTCACTTATAATATTAATGCCATTTCACTAATAAGTTCAACTTTCAAACCTGTATTATCATAGGAATGTAAAACTATAAATATGATATCTCTTGACTTCATAATAAAATAGCTAGCTAAGAGCTCAGATAAACTCAGAGTTGGCATAACTCAATAGAGTTTGACTCAATTAAGAGTCTATTATCCTGACTTTAATATTTCACTAATTACTACTTAGAGAGGGTGTGCATTTATAGAGAGCAAAATATATAATGCTATTATAAGCTGGGACCAGACTAAACTGTACATTTAAAGAGATTTTACATAGAGGGTGCATTTATAGAGAGTGCATTTAGAGAGGTCTCTCTGTATTAAGTAATAGATATTATACTATGTTACTGTATATGTATCACATAATTCACATTAACAAAATACAGTTTCTTCTCAGTTTTATGCATACTGTATTTTCGCGTAATAACGCTCATGAGTTATTTCGAATAATGGCCCGAATTAAGCTTAATTTGGGCCAAAGGTTGATATTACACCCCCTGCGCGTTATTACGCGAAAATACGGTATGTTTGTATGTTGGAATAGAAGCTTTGTGTGTGTATTCTAGATAAGTATACGTTTCAACGAAATTCTAAATTGACTCAATTTGTTAGAAAATTCGAATTCAACTTCATGAATGGATTTATCAAAAATCTGATCAATAAAAATATATGCAATATAATATAAAGTGAATCCATTAAATACCCTATAAAAAAGTCGATCCGTGTTTTATATTCCATGTTTTTTCCGTAAATGTTACATATTCACGGAATTTATAACCTTAAATCATGGAGATTATTCGGCTTGTCTAGATTTTGTCGATCATGTTGCAGATTCACGGAATGGACTAGGAAAACTTTGGTTTACGAAATCTTGGAACATTGATGAATCTCGTTGCCAAATTGGATGTAATTTTGGGTTCTTAAAATTATATATAATGCAGGAATTCTTTCTGAATTGTATAATATTTCTTCTATAGGTATATGTAGAGATGTTGTATTCATGCATATTTTGGCCAAAATTATAACAATTTTTTTTATGCTGGACAGAATTATAGCGGTTTGCAGATCATAATGTCATGTAAAATCACGATAAATCAGCCGATTCTAGTAGATTTTTCGATTCTTAAAGAATTTTAAAGATTCCGAATAACATATAAACGTTATTGATCGAAAATTATGATCGATAGGGAATTAAAATCTCGGAAATTTTTCCGTTATCATCATCACGAAATCACAGGGTCACACCTTTTTGCAAACCGCCATAATTGCGCAATTGCCCATCTCTAGGTATGAGAAGTTTCTCGAGTATAATTAATATAATGTCAATTCGATAATTTAAATAATTGCAAACGAAGAATATATGAGGTAAAATTCATATTATGATTTAATAAAAATTGAATATTTCGGAATTAACTTTGTCAGTTTGAAATTCTGTGAATTTAAGATTTCTAGGTGCATTTAGAATCTATTTGCCGTAAATTCTCAAAATAACGAGCATAGGCGTTATTTTGAGTTATGGCCCAAATTAAGCTTAGTTTGCTAAATTTCGAAATTACTGTACACCCCTACGGGTCGTCTACCGTTATAGTGCTTCGGGACTTTTTGATCATATCTTGATAATTTATCGGGCTATATTCTTGAGCAAGTGCTCTATTCATAGAACAATTTTTGTTGCGCAACATCATAATAAAATTTGCTATAATTCTCAATCAAAGTCTATTAGTTTCTATTTTTAAATATATAAATCAAAATTGATTGAACATCGATTTTTAAATTTGAAAAATTGTACCCGAAGCCTTATATCTTACATATACGGAAATTTGAAACAAATTTCTTTTTTTATCTTCACCGACAATTGTTTGTTGTTGACACAAGTACGTACGTACGTGCATATTCTGGTTGGCCCGCTCGCATGAAGATAATGCATGTCGGTAGATTTCTAGAATCATAATTATACGTATTATTTATATAAAATGCACCTATATACCATATATAATTGTTTTTAATAAAATTTAAGGTTAGGGTGCCATTTTTAATATGAAATAAATGAAATAGGGGCTTTATATATAACATAATAAAATTTTCGTATAAAGGTCCAAATTTTGTCACGCATAAGATTTTCGAGGATCCTGACTAATTACTTAGTATGTTTTTGAGAAATAGCGTTTAGCACCATAGGTGCATTTTAGTAAACTTGTTCTATTTAATCTTTCGGCTAAAAAAAAAAATCATAAATTTGGACAACCAATTGATATATCAATCTTTTTTTTTTTTATTATTATTTATGGTTTGCTTTTTAGCTCAAATAATGAAAGCTTTTGGATATATAGATTTTTTTATATAAAAATTTCAGGGTCTTATTGTACTATTCATTGGAATTTTAAGTTGATCTTTGGAAAAAAAAAAATTTACTTTTCTAGAGTTCCTTAAAACGGGGTAATCATACAAGTTGATGATATTATCATTTATATGCCAAAGTTTTTTTAAAAAATTTTTACGTGTAAACCTAAAGATTACCTTGTGTTATCCAATAAATTAATCTAGATATATTACATAAGAAAATTGTCACTTAGTGTGATGTCGGTAGGTTGTAAAAAATATTATACAATATAATAATATACTGTTATTATATATCCCTAATGAGGACTTCTCTATAACGTGTGTTGTAATCGTATTTCTACAGTATATATAGAGGCCACCTTTGTATTTTTGTCGAATATGAATAACAAACAAATGGAAAAAATAAAAAATCGTGCAGTTAACTTCCTTAATTGACAGCTCTTTATGGTAAAATAATGATAAATTATCATAAATTATCATAAATTTTAATTTAGAAGCGGGCTAATTAGTCTTCTAAAAATGCAAAAAAGAATTTATATACCTGAACAAAAGGTTGCAAGAACTGACGTTAGAAAATATTACCGAGAATGCGATTCAATATGACAAGTAAATAACAAAAATTATATACTAAACGTAATATAAACTTAAAAGATGCCACTGCATTGCCTACATTCATTTCAAACGAACAATTATGTGGGACTGATTCAATTAATTAAGTATAAGGTAGGGAGGGTAGTATAATTTGTCGCACTTGTTTTTTTTGATGATATACTGCGATACACTGATCAGTATCGAAAAAATTTTAGTACCATTCGATTCGTCTTACTGAGACGAAAAAATAATACAAAAATTTTTTGATTCTAATTGCTAAATCACAAGATATAAGTAATAGTCGATATTACTTATGCCAGTATCAATTTCTTTTAATTTTTATTATATATTTTCTCATTTGGGTAATTGCCGGAGGAAAGTTGCAATAATACGTACGAAACACATAGTGATACATAGTGCGCCATAATATCAGATATAAAAAACATAGACACTCAATTTTTATGCAATAAGTGATAAAAATTACGTTTTTTTTGATGCATGTCGATCAAAATACAGTCTACCCTCGTTAATATCAACTCCATTAATATCAACCTAAGCCATAAGATGAATTTTTATATATTAAAAAATCGTGGAGAAACTTATTGTATGATGGGTAGATATGAAGAATCATTATTAGATTTAACAAGATCTTTAAATATTAAACCAAATGATGCATCAGCATTAAGAAATCGAGGAGAAACTTATCGTATATTAGGTAGATATAGGGAGTCACTCATAGATTTAACAAAATCATTAAAAATTAAACCCAATGATGCGTGGGCATTGAAAAATCGAGGTGTGACATATCGTATGCTGGGTAGATATGAGGAAGCACTTACAGATTTAACTAGGTCATTAGAAATTAATCCAAAAGACAGGTGGGCATTGGGTCAACGTGAAATAACTCTTCATTTGATGAAAACCCTGGACGATACGTAAAGAATTCGAGAGTTTTTTTTTAGTTTATATTATATAAGTGATCTTTATAATTAAAATTAATAGTAATGTTTAGAGAGCTGTGTTTATCGCTGTGTTGTGTTAAATGAGAAATTAAACAAACTTAATTATAGTAATAAATAAATATTGTTTTTTTTTTATTCTTGCATCAAAGAAGTTTATCATGTTAGTTTTGAACTATTTATAATAGGAGAATACTCACATCAATATATTCGCAATTTAGCACCAACTGCAAACATTTGTTATATTTATGCCTAAACGAATAATGACTAGGAAAGAGATTAATTATTTTTTTTCTCAGAAGGATACATTCAAATACGTGAAGGTGTTTCCACTTTTAACACTCTGTAATTGTGAGGCAAGATGTATAATTATGTAAATACTAACGTAAAAGACAAGAAATAATACAAATTTCTTTTTATTTGACTAACTCTTATAACCTAAATGATTTATATACTTTATGATAATATGATAAAAGCAATTATATTATAATATTATAAACAACTATATATATAAATATGTATCCTACAATATAAAATTCAATATCTTACAAGTTTATGAGAAAATTAATTTAAGATTGTTCACTATTCAAAAGACGAAGTCGTTTAGCAGTTTTTTGATTCCTTAGAAGCTCAGCTTCTTGAAATATTTAATAGCAATATTTATATATTTTTTAAATCCATCACCAAGTTCATAACACATTCCTAGATGATATTTATCATCACCTTGTGTTGATAATTTGAATTATCTTAATGCTTCAGTTGTATTCTTCTTTACTCTTCTTTACTCCGTAACCATCATAGTAACAAGTTTCTGCAGCTGCTTTAAAATTCTTATAAGCTATAGATGGAAAACCTTTATCTTTAGCTTTTAAATCTTCTTTTTATAATTTATGACCTTTATCAGAATCATTAGTAAAATCTTGTTGTTTAGACGATGAACATAACTCCAGTATAGTACTATCTTGTTTAGAAATTAATCGTTGGCTATTTTGTGTTAAAGTTGAAGATTGTGAAGTAGATGCTAATGAAACTGAAGGATTTTGTTTTTGGTAATATATTTACAATCTTCAGAATAATCGTAATCAATCATGTTATCAGATTCTTTATGTTTTAATATTTCATAAGGTTTGGGATGCTTTTGTTCAACAAAAAGTAGCATTGAATTTTCAAGTCGATGTTGAATTGGCTCTATATGCAAGAAATCGTCAAAATGTAATTTTTTCAAAGCTTCATAAATGTGCTCGTCAATTGGTCGTTTATCTAAAATTTCAAAATAGTAAAAATTTATGCAATAAACTTTTTTAAAAAGATACTGACTGATACGTACGTACGTACGTACATACGTACTGTACAGTATGTACCAGATATATATTTATTATAAATAACAACAACGTTATCGAAAAAAAAACCTTCGGAGACGCCATAAAACTTAATTGTATTTGGATGATTCTAAATTTCCAGTGTTTAAACTATATCATAAAACGTCCAAGTTAGTGTGTCTTATACTATAAACATTATAAACCAACGAATTTATGCGTAAAATTTAGATAAAATAACAACCTCTCTAAAAATGATTGAGAATTTAAACAAACTTCATCAGGATCGCCCTTAAACCCTTTAACGCAAAGATCCTTGGCTTTTGTTTTTTTTTGTCATTCGTGATCCGTTCAAGCTTATTAATTTCACCCGCGAATATACGTCTTGTTTTTAAATTCTCCGTAATTAAAGAGTTACTATTTATTTCATTTTTAATATATTCACGACATTCTATTATAGATGTTTTGTGAATCTGATTAATTTGACTATATAATTTTTGTAGCATAATAATGCTCAGCTGCGCGTTATTTTGAGTATACGCGTTATTTCGAGTACGTGCATGAGCGTTATATGAAATTTGTAAACTAGAATAATAAAGACAGGAATGTGAATGCGAATTTTCTGCGCATTATCATTTTACTTTTATAAGAGTTCTATACCATGCACATACAGAATAAAACTAGAAGTAATATAATTTGTATTATAAATAACTTATTTATGCTTACAAAAGGATTTTGCATTTTTAGGATCTATGAAAGAAACGTTCTTGACTAATCTTATCATTATCGTACGTACGTACGTGTGTTACAATTTTTAATGTGTAATCCTCCTCTTTATACATTTTACATTAATAGGATGTACTGTGTACAGAGGGACCTCTCTAAATGCACCCCCTCGGGACCATAGTAAAAAATTTTAAAAATGTGCACTTAGAGAGGGTGTGCATTTATAGAGAGCAAAATATATAATGCTATTATAAGCTGGGACCAGACTAAACTGTGCATTTAAAGAGATTTTACATAGAGGGTGCATTTATAGAGAGTGCATTTAGAGAGGTCTCTCTGTACTATAATTTTTAATAAATTCATTTTTCCCGAAGTATCACGAGGGTTAAAGAGCTAGTTATAACTTATACCAAGTTGATAAAAATTATATAACAATTGTAATCTATTGTATATCTCTATTGTAAAGCCTTGTTTTAATATTAATTTGCTTTTTAACTAAAAATTATTTATTTTTAGATATCTTTTTAACCAAAGATCTAATCTTTGTTATATAAAGTAGCATTATTTTAAAAAATAAACAAAATATATATTATAATTGTAACAAATAGTATCTCTTGTTAAAGTATCTACAGTTAGACCTCTCTAAATGCATAGCCTCGGATAGCCAAAAAATCTTGCATTTAGAGAGGTATTGCATTTAGAGAGGTAAAAATCTATATGTATCATATGAGTTAGTGCCAAACAAGGTTATGCATTTAGAGAGACTATGCATTTAAAGAATATGCATTTAGAAAGGTCTGACTGTACTTACTATTAATTAAGTATTAATTTAATTAAATTATATAGTTAATTAATAGTTTCAAGAGAGTATTAATCAATTTTTAAAGCCTAGAAATATAAGAAACCTAGATATTATTTATTACAAATTATAGTAGTTGCAATTTACTAAGTTTATTTTGAAAATAAAAGATATAAATAATACAATCTTTTAAAAAAAGTAAACTAAATTGTCTACTTTTTTAAAAAATTTTGTAAAAGTAGCAAGAGTGTAATATAAAAGTAAAATTTATTTGTATTAAATTGTTAATAAAGTGTAATAAAAAATTTATTTTTTTTACTAATTTTTGTTGCTTTATTATATTAACAGAAAAACTATTATGTTTTTATCAAAATTTTATATATAAAAGTATTATTTTTTATTAGTTATCTTGTATACTAATACTTTTGGCTTATATATTAAATATATAAAAAAGTTTTTAAAGAAAAAACTAGTTAATCTTTATAAATACTATTTTATTATATTATTTTACTATATTTTAGTATAGTCAACTCTCTAGTAAAAAAAATTTTTGGTTTGTATAAATAAAAAAAATTTAGTTTAAATAATTATTAAAAAGAGTATTTTTTAAAAATTTTAAAATATAATTAATTTGTTAAAAAAATTTTTTTTTTAATATTAAAAATAAAACTATATTCTTATCTTTATTAAACTTAATAAAAACTTTTTACATAATTAAAAAAGATTTTGTATTTTAAGTTTAGTACTAAGAATAAAAACTTAGACTGACTAAGTGCTTAATAAAAGTGAATCTAGTATTTTATCTGTAATTTAAACCTGTTAAAAAATTTTTTATATAAAGCTAATTTTATATTATAAAGTATTTTTTTTATTTTTTTTATCTCCTTCTGCTATCCTGAAAGTCCTTAAACACCTTAGAATCTGTCACATTATTAAGGCCAGAGTTATTATTCTGTAAAGATTAATAGATAGCTATTGGCCCTGAATATTTGGTTTCTGCAAGTTAGTACACTTCATTGCTATATATATTACCTGTAGTGCTTTCTAGTCTCTCCATGCTATGTAGTGATAAGTCTATTACCTTAGTGATATCCCAGGTCCTGCAGTGTAGAACCTCCAACTTTGAGGTTCACAGTTTCTTATTACCATGGCCTCATAGTTTCTTTTTCTATTATATTTAACCTTTTATATTTAATGCATTAATTCTTAAACAGGAGTATCTCAATATTAGCATTATTTGTTAATAGATTGTACCTTTTTTAGTCATTTTTAACTCTGTAGCTATGCTAGCAGACTGCATTCTTATCTATAGATCTTGTTCTTTTTTTTGATTTATTTTAAATTCTCATAGATCTTTTAATTGTGGTTCTGACAAAGCCTTATTTCCCAGTTGGATTCAAACTTATGACCTTGCAATTATGACTCCAGAGTACTAACCACTACATTATCAATTCTATAAAGTATTTTAATACTTATTATACTAAATAAATATAATTAAATAGTTGATATTTAGTATAGATAAAAATATAAAAGTATTATAAGATTATAACATATAAAAATAACTATTTAAACTAATTTAAACAAATTTATAAATAAGAGTGTGATGGCTTAGTGAGTGGTCTAGTCATCACTCCACCAAGCAGCAGGTCCAAAGTTCGAATTCTACAGACAATATTTTCGAAAAATAAGCCTGTGATATGGTGATAGTTATAGTTAATCAGTTGGGTTCCAGAACCTGTAATCTTGGTAATACTATGTTTATATAGAAGCTTCAGTATGTAAAAGGTCAAAAAACTACAATGATCAAAACCCATTTAGAAAGTTCCAAGTGAGAAGGTATTGAAAACTTTTAATGATACTACAAGAAAATCGAACTTAGAACTGGAGACTGAGACTGGAAAACCAAGTAACTAGGTCCTTAAGTAGGGGAAACATACTAGCTGAACTGCCAGGTCACCAAAACTGAAGAAAAAAGATATATACTCTAGAAGCGTGTACCAAGGAGAGAATACCTATAGAGCATCTAATACCTAGGGAAGAGAGACTATAAGACACTTAAAGCCTGGGCAGACTGATTCTTTCAGGTTGCTGGCTAGAAATAAGGAAGGAACTAATAAGAAATCTAGGAAAAAAGGAAGTTAAAATATAAGTACTGGGATCATTGTGAACCTTGCAAAGGCAAAGAGTACATAATAGAAACTAATTAGAAAGGTTATGGCTTGAAATATGAATTGGGTTATAGTAGCATCTGAAAGATAGCTTGAAACATAAACTCGATAGTAGTAGCACAACAAGTATTAATTAGGAAAAGTTACCAAACATGCAGGTAAATACATGTGTAGAATATAGACTATTCTGTTAGATTTACTACAAGGATAAATACCCTTCTGAGAAACTAGATTAACTGGTAGCTAAAGTCTTAGAGTCTTTTATAGCAAATTATTTCAAAAAGATATATTAAAAAGAACATGGTACAGAGATTAAAGCCAGATAGTTTAAATAGATAGCTTTCTAGTTAGGATAGGTATAATAGCTAGTATAGAACCTTAGAGCAAACTACTTAGATTAAACAACCAAAAGTTATATATATAGCTAGTTGTACTCTTGTAGTACTACTATAATATATCATATATAGTTTTTAGATTAGCGATACCTGCTAGTACAAATAAAGTATCGAGAGCATAAGTAGTCATTTTGAATATTAAAAAAAAAAAAAAAAAAATTAAATTACAAATTTTGTATAATATATCAATTAAAACAATTTTAATAAACAAAAAATTAAATTTTTATTTATAATTAAAGTAATAGTAGATTTAGAATTAAAATAAGTATTAGTTTATACCAAATTTATCAAAAAAAAATTTTTTGTTAAAAGCCAAAAGGTGGTTTAATAATCAAAATTTAAGATATTAGTTAGTTTTTATACTATCTATATATATACACTTTATATATAAATAGAAATTCTCTAAATATTAAATTAATTTTTATAGATTTTTATTAAATTTAGCAGTTTGTAATATTGCAGATTAGGGTGTGGTGGCTTAGTGAAGTAGTCTAGTTATTACTCTACCAAATGGCAAATCCAAAGTTTAAACTCTATAGATAACGATTTTAAAAAATAAGCTTGTATTATAATAATAATTATTTGTTAATTAGTTAAGTTCTAGAATCTGTAATCTTGATAATACCATATTTATATAAGAGCTTAAACATATAAAAGGCCAAAAAACTGAGATAATCGAAACCCATTTGAGAAAATCTGAGTAAGAAGTAGCTATAATCTTTGCTAGTATTACAGGAAAGACTTAAATTTAGAAGTTAGAATCAAGATTGAAGAACTGAATAACAATAAAATTCTTTAGTAAGGAGATTAACTAATCTGACTGCCAATTTAAAAAGTTAGAAATCTGTAAGGTATTATAAAATATACTAACTCTGGCCAACTGGTATAGAAAACTAGTGGTAGAGTTCTATCCACCATAACCAGAATTATAAAAGTTAGGTAACTGATAAAAAAATGCCAAGCATGTTTAAAAGATTAGTCTACCAAACTAGAAGAAAAAAACATGTGCTAGGAAATCATATACCAAGATGAGACAAGGGTACTGATACCTAAAGCCAAGCCAAAATCAAATCTTCCAGGTTATCAGTTGAAAGTAAAGGATGAACTAATAAGGAAATAGCAAAAAAAAAAAGTTCAAATATGGGTATTAAAATTAGAAATAAATCTTATAAGAGCAAAAGCAGTTAAATAGAAATAATTCTAATTGCAAGTAAGAGCCTCAGCAACTATATAAAACTAGACTAGCTCAAATAGGATAGAGTAGGCTCTAGTAAGTTTATTTTAAGAATAGCTATGTATCCATTTAACAAAGGAATGCAAGCTAGTAATAGTTAGTACAAATCTAAAATAAGTCTTAAAAGTCCTAAGGCTAGATTGTACAATCTAGTAAAACAGGCCAGATGGTAGTTTTCATGTTAGTATAATATATAGTCGACTCTGGATATAATGAATCTTTTTATAACAAACATACTATATAATGAATTTTTTTTTTCAAATTTAATATAAGTTCAGTATATAAAATATAGTAAATTACTATATAATGAACTTTTAAAAATTTTTACTATAAGACTCGTCAGTTCATTATAAACAGAGTTGACTGTATTCTTCAAATTGCTTAATATCATCTTTTTCATATATTCCAGAAAATAAATCTTTGCAAAGTTCACTTTTTCCTATTCCAGCATCTCTATAGATATAGATTATACATGGTTTTCAAAATTATTTAATATTTTTTAAAGAATTAATTTTTTGGTTTTTGATAGCTTTAGCAATTCTTTCTAATCTTTGAAATGTTTGTAACTATTTTTTACAAGAAGATGCATATTTAGTGATCACTTTATCAATGTCTACTCCTTTTAGTACTTCTTCAATTGCTATCTTATAAGGGTTTGTTTGAACTTCTTCATTTTCGAATCTGAATTATAGTTAGATTCATTAAAAATCTATTCCCAAAGACCAGCAATTTCAGTATCTTCACTAATTCGAGCAAATGGTCTTTCACAAGACTTATTATACTTTTTGCAGATTTTGGAAAGATAAAAAAAATCACATTTGCATGGTTGATGTTCAGGATTTTTACATCTATCATAATTTTTTCCTATATATGCCAAGTATTGATTATTTGTTTCATCAGCAAAGTCTAGATGAATATTTGCTTAAAATATTTTTTTTACTTCAGCACCCTCTTTAGTATCAGAATTGTAATAACCAACTTCTAATTGTTTGCCTTTTCTAAGTTTAGCAAAACCTTGACCATGTGATGTTCAGGTTCTGAGAACTTGCGATTTAGTTCAAGTTCATCAGCAAATTTAATAGGGCGTAATATTACGAAATAATTTACGACCCGTAAAAAAGGCGTAATATTACGTAAAATA